ACAAATTAAGTTGTGTCCAGAAAAATTTTTTGGAGGGCATTTGTATACATCCACAATTAAGTAGGACCAACCCAATGCATCTTCGGCTAGCCCAAACAAATCATAGGCCCGTTTCACCGTCTGGCCCATAGTTGAGGAAGGCCCATCCGAATGCAAGCCCTCAAGAGGGGCCAAGTTAGTTGGTGAGGGGAGATAGTGGAAGGTTGTTGCGAAATGGATGAAATCAAATTTAATCCAAATAAGTCAAAAATAACGAGGAAAAGATTATATCAGACTACACGCCATTGACCATCAATCATCATCTTTTTAATTTTTTCTCTGCAATTTATTTTTCTCTATATTTTTTTTTCAAATTTTTTATAGCTTTTCTATTAATTTCAATTTAATTTCCAGCTTTCTTTCTTGTTTATCAGTCTTAGTTTGTTTTCTTTTTGCATTAATTATTCGTTAATCGAGACATAGCCCGAATCATTTCTTGATGAGGCCGGGAAACCCTTCGAACAAATTGATTCTGACAGAGTTTTCCAATTAAACCGCCGGAGGTGATTTTTTACGACAAAGATTATTTTTTTAAACAAAGAAGTGTGAGCCATTGTGTTACTTTGGTTGTGTTTCTTTAGGCCGGTCTCGGAAAATTTAGGTTTGAGTTTGGTTTTTATTTGAATTTTAAGATAGGTTTGAGTTTTTGTGTTTCTTTTGTATTTGAGTTTGGTTTGGATTTGAGGAGTTTTGATATGTATTGATTTGATGGATAATGAATATAATAATATAAATGTGTACTAAATTTAAATGAGAAAATTTATAATGGTACGATTTTATTATGAATTTATATTATATCCAACCTATATATATTTAAATTTTTACTTATTTGTATTATAAAAATTTTATTTTCTACAAAACGACATATATTGTATATATTTTTATTCTGTAATATTTTTAATAATAAATTATTAAACAAAAACAAACACAACAATAAAGTTGGAGTCAGTCTGCCGCTCTGTCGGCAATATACACTACAAGAAAAAATTATTTTTGTAACAAAATATTTGTGTCTCTAAATCTACTTTTTCCGTTACTAATGACATTAGAGACGGAATTAGGAATGGAATTACGTTAGCTACGTGAACTTTAGGGACGAAATTCCATTACAAATATATTATTTTTTTGTAGTGATAGAAGCAGCCCCGGTTTGGGGTTGTTTACTGTACAAACAATGTTTGCATAGTAAAAAGCTCCAAACAAGCTGAAGAAACACACCATTTATTTTACATTTCTCTTGAAAATGCTCTAAATTTAAAAAACGCTTTGACATATGTGCATTTGAAGTCTATTTCTACGTAGAGTCATTGTCTCTGCTCGAAAGAAAGGGCGGCGGAGAGGATAGGGACAGAAAGGATAGGGAGACAAAAGAAGAAAATTAGAATGAGATATGTTTAGGTTTTATTATTAAATACTATCTCCATCCATTTTGAAAAGAAACCTTTGAAGTTTTGTAGAAAATTAAGAAATTATAGTATTTTATTAATAAAAAAACCTTTGGAGTTTAGCAGAAGATTTAAAAATAATAGTATTTTGTTCGTCAAAAGCAACCTTTGGAGTTTTGTAAAATATTAAAAAATAATAGTATTTTATTGGTGAGCGGAAGTGTATAAGAAATTTTGACAATTTACCACTTCGGTATAAAGTATAATATATTTTTAATTTAAATAAAAATTAATAGTATTTTGCTATTAATGTATGATTATTTTTACCATGAATAGTCAAGACGGGTGAGAATAATAAAAAGTTACTTTGAATTAGGATAGTGGGAATATAATTTTTTTTAAAAAAAAAATATAATATAAAGTAGATTTCTTTTTATATAAAACAAATACTATTTGATTTTTTTACCTTAATATAATTAAACAATAAAAAAATTTGTGTAGAACTAAGTTTTGAGAGAGAGTTGAAGTAATAACTTTTAATTTTTTAGTATTATTCATGAAATTATTCATGAAATTAATTTCGTGAGTAAGTTCTCACAAAATTACTCACAGAACTATATTTGGTGAGTAATTTTAATTACTCACCGACTTAATTTCGTAAATTATTAATTCTGTGAGTAATTTTCAAGAGTAAAATATATATTTTTTTAGTTGAAGATACATTCTGAAACTATATTGGATTGATCTAAAACCCTTTCTTGTCTCTAATTCCGGCTTATATAGCCTCAAGAAATGTTGATCCTCCGTTGCTTGAAGGTCTTATTTTATCCTTGCTTGAAGTTTGTCCATTCTACTTGAAGTTGGTGATACATACGAAAGTGATATGGATTGAGACCCACAATTTTCTTCTAAAGTTGTGTACTTCAACTTTTTTTAAAATCATCGCATTGTAGTATGTTTTGACTTTTTTTCTTTTTAATAATAGGTTTTTTCCTATAACAATAATAAACATTAAGAGTGTTTTTTTTAGGTCAGTTTGGAAAATTTGGGTTTAGGAGTTGATTTTTATTTGAATTTTAAGATAGATTTGAGTTTTTATGTTTATTTGTGTTTGAGTTTGATTCAATGGGTAATTAATATACTAATATACATGTATATTAAATTTAAATGATAAAATTTATCGTTGTATGATTTGATTATAAATTTATATTATATTCAACATATATGTTTAAATTTTTATTTATTTGTATTATACAAAATTTTATTTTTTACAAAATGACATATATATTGTATATATTTTTTTAATCCTATAATTATTATAAATATTAAATAATTAATTATATGTGTACTTTAATTTTATTTTTTAAAAAAATAGAAACAAACACGGCAATAAAGTTGCAGTCTGCAGCTAAGAGAAGCAGCCCCACTACGAGGTTGTTTACTGTGCAAACAATGTTTCCACATTAAAAAGCCCCAAACCGGGCCTAAAGAAACACACCATAAAATACTTTAATAATTAATAATTATAATTATAATATAGATAAAAATTTGTATAGCATATAATTTAACTTACTCGATGTGACAATCTTTCGTTTTTTTTTTTTACTGTTGTCATCCCAATGACGCTTATAAATATTGACCTTGATTCCTCTCATTTTCATACTCGATGGATTACGTACAAGAACTTCAATTTTATCGGGAGACGCATCATTACAAATGCTTGCATCATTTAAATCCATACTTCCTAATCAGTTCGCATTTTTTCTTCTATGTTCTTTATACCAATCTTGCTTCTGCATTGGTTTTGGCTATTGAAGTAAGATAATAAAACTTCTTCATTGTTGTATTGACAAATGCCAACTCAACAAGTAAATTAATATTACTATTATGAATTGCATTGTAACTTGGTGTAGAGAATGTTATACTTTTGGCATCTTTGGTCCATCTCTTCAAAATATATTTATCGAGTATCATAATTTGTCGAGTATTTGTAAATATCGAAAAAAAATGTCTGCATAATATACTCGCAGTTTCAAACTTATGAAAAATGCAAAAAATTTCACCATGTCGCACGATGTAATTTCTTGAACTACCATTAAGAGAGACATGATCTTAAAAATTCTCAAGTTACTATCAAAATATTGAGATTCTTCTATACATCCAACCTATAACATTTTTTTTCGTTTATGTATTAAACAACTTGAAACTTTTTTGTGTGCATACTATGACAGCTTGCTTGAGTACTGGGTTATGATGACTAAAAAGTGAGAATTGTTTATGGTGTGATTCAATGTCATTTACTTTCTCTTTTGCTTGCCAACAACTTAAGACTTCTATATAACCGTAACACAATGTAGCAATGTCAAAGTACTATTTCCAATTTCAGCGGTCTATATTGTATTAGACCATTTCTAATCCATCAACTTCATTTATGCAGTTTTTGCTACAGTAATTTTACTACAATCATAACTCTATGCTTTACTATTATTATTTAAATATTCAATTTTTTCTATTATTTCAAACAACTTTTTATTTTTCTAATTTAAAATAATTTTTTAAAAAATTTAGAAAAATAAAAAATATTAAAAAAAAAAAGGAAGCTAGCAACGCTGGATTTGGCGTCGGTAATCATCCAATGGCGCTGGGTTGGAAATGCCCTTAGTACTTTCACTACTAGATATAGCCATAAACCCAACACTGAGCACCTTGATGGCGCTGGGTTGGAAATGCCCTTAGTACTTTCACTACTAGATATAGTCATAAACTCAACACTGAACACTTCAAGGTAAAAAACAGTCAATCATTTTTGTCGTAAATTATACATTTTATTTAACTAATTCTTTTCATTAATTTCATAATCAACTTCCATCTCTTGATATGTTGCCTTGAATGCTTCCTCCCACTTCAAATTTATCTCACAAAAATCAATTCATACCTATTCTTTTAGGTACAAAATTTATCTCACAAAATTTTTTCTAATAAAAGAAATTGTTCATAATACCTACAATTTGCTGCACTTGCCCTTGCCCACAATATATACAATCTGCTCCACATTGAAGGAATATGAAAATTTTAAATAATAATTATTCTGATAGAAACTTACATGGTACAACGTAAAAATGGTTATATCATAAACACATTTACTAATGGTCGCATCATTAATGACAACATCACGCTAATAATTATTGTAAATAAACAAATTAAAAAAAAATAAAAGAAAGTATTAAAAGACACTACAACGGGCAGTGCCTTCTTGAATCAACTCTCACAGGAGCACTGCTCGTAGAACAAGGTCTACCAACAGTAAAAATTGCAAAATTCAGCAAAGTTTTTGGAAGAAATAAAACAAATGAGAAGAAGAGTTCTATTTATGCAACACATTTTTACTATTTTTGATACTATTTATTTTTCAAAAAATATCACATCAAGTACTTTTTTTTTTCTCACAAAATTTTAAATCAAATACTCCCTCCGTTCCATTGAAAGATTACCATTTTCTATTTTCGTTCGTCCCAAATCAAGGTTATCATTAATAATTGTACTACCCACCTAACATAATAAATACTATTTAAACTTACAATATATTACACAAATGCCATTGCTTTTATATTACACCATACTAACAGAAATGTTTTTGTCTTTTTTACTACAATTTAATATAATACTAATATTAAAAAATTTACGTGCAAAAAACAAACTTCACCCTCCCACGGGACGGAATGAGTATAATCTTTTACTTTTTCAAACTTCTAAAATTTAAAAAAACTCCAGGAACTTTAACAAAGCTTTGGGTGGGCTGTAAATCAATCAGTCAATCAATTAAAATCGGCAAAAGAATGAAATATAAGATGACAACTGACACAGTAATACTAATTTCTGGATCAAAACAGTAGTCTATTTCTGAGTAGGGTTTTGCTGTTCCCAGTTCCAATATTTCCGGCATAGCTCTTCCACCCTGATCCTGATCCTGATCTCTTCTCCCCCAAAGAATTCGCCGACTTGCTCCCCCCCACCTCCAACTTCCCATTACCATTACCATACCCACTCCTCCTCTCAGCCACTGGCATCATCGCCGCTGCTGGCCGCCGATTCTCCTTCCGCAGTAGGGGCAGGGCGGAGGAGAATTCAGGTACCGATTGGGCGAGAACAGAGTGCCTACCACTACGATTACTACCATTGCTAGGCCTCTTCGAAGGCTTCGGGGGAGTGACTAAATTTGAAATTAATTTCACCTGCTGCTTTTTTGGAGGAGTCAAAATAGATCCAATTTCGTCTGATTTCTTCTCCGGCGTTAATTGTTGATACTTGTTCTTCATCCGCAGCTTCCTGTCTCGGAGATCGGAGTACTCCTTGAACCGGGGACCTCGCTCCATCGAAAAGCCCTCCGTCAGCTTGTCTGGGACTGTATTGGAGGAGGAGAACTGAGAGAGGATCAGAGATTTGGGATCGAGAGCCGCGTGAAGAGAGCGGAGAGAATTGCTGGTCTCCGCCATGGATTTGAAGCTCCGGAAGGGTTTCAGTTTATGATACCAATTTGTTTGGCTGGTTGGTTTTATACGCTTTTGTTTAAATATTGGGGAAATCAGGTTACAACGGTCGAATAATTAAGGAATCTGTGAAGGGCAAAGTTGGAAAGTAAAAAAAGGTTTTTTTCCCAACGTTCTAATAAGGGCTGGTGGTTGGTCCCACGGGCCACCATTAAATAAAATCCATTGACTAAAATGAGAATGTTTTTAATCCCAAAACTATCACATGCCAACCTTGTTATGGTATGTTGTTTGTTTTTTTAGTTTTAATTTTGATTTGATCAATAGGTAGTGTTCACCTACTAAAAAAATGTTCATATTAATATAATATAATATATATATTGTTGATGCAAATTTTCTTTGCCCGATTTTATCCTATCTGACCTCCGTGTCTGCCGATACTTCTTCTTTGTCCGACCTTATTCTGTCTGACCTTCATGTCCGACTTTTGGACCGTTTGGCTTATATTCAAATCCACCAAGAATCCTACTGTCATTATTATTATTATTATTATTATTATTATTATTATTATTATTATTATTATTTTCTGCTCAACATATATACTCGATCCGTCTCATTCTATTATATCAACTTTTATTTTTTTGATTGTCTCAATTCATTGTACTATATCCGTCATGCAAATGTATGCTCATTTGAATGATACAAGTTTTAATAAAAAGTGAATAATAATAGTTACTTTTTTTTATAGTAAAAAAATAAAAATTGTAATAATTTTTTACTTAAAAAAAAATAAAAATATTTTTCAATAACAACCCAAAAAAGAAAGTGGACATAGATTTGAATGACGGAGAAAGTATCACTTACCATAAATAAAAAAAATTAACCAAATATTAATATTCTTAATCTTTACCTAGGGGTGTTTGGAAAACAGCGTTTCAAAGAGCTTTTAGCTTATTGAAGAACTTTTAGCTGTTTGATCAATCAAAAAGCTAATTTAAATGTTTGGTAAAATAGCTTTTTCAAATAGCTTATTGGGACTGAAACGCTAATTTTTGAAACGTTGTTTACCCCGGCGTTTAAGATTAGCGTTTTGATTTTATTTAATTTATTCCAAAATTACCCCTACACCCTAATTTACACAGAATTTTTTTTCTATTTTCGGCGTCACATCATCTCTGCACAAGTGCATCCACTCTATCGATCTCTTTATCTCTGGATTTGATTTTGTTTTGTGCCATTCGTTTCACTTTTCTCCTCTTCTATCAAGGTATAGTTTTCATATAAGGTTTTTATTTATTTATTTATTTTATTTCTTTTTTTTTTTTTGTTGATGATCTATGACGGCAGTGTACCATTGGGTTAATTAGATGTGTTGGACATGGATCCAAAAACATTCGAACGAGAAGGAGGCTCAAAGACAAAGGTGCCAGAGCTCATTGGCTACGGAACCGCTCAACAGCAATGGAGCTTCAAGCCTCGGAGCCAAAGACTATTGCTTCCACAGAACCAAAGGCAACAGTTTCCATTGGATTGTGGTGCTTCCACAGGGCCGAAAACAACAGCCTCAATGGACCTTAGGGCAGCAACTCCTTGGACTATGGCGACTCCATTCCGGAACAATGTTTCCATAAGGTCAGAAAGTGTTGTCTCAATTGGGTTGAAAACAACTACTTCCATTGGACTGCGGTGCTTCCACAAAGTAAAGGAAGGTTGCCTCCACAAGATAGAAAGCAACAGCTTCCACAGATCATGGGATAACTACCTCCGTTGGCCCTTGGTTAATAATTTCGTACTTAACATTAGTGGAGGGCCTATGCACTCTCATACTTTATTCAAAAAGCTTCATGGAACAACCAGCAAGAGGAAAACCGAAGATTCCATTTAACTCGAGGTTGTTGGGGATACATCCCTGTGGACCGGCTAGGAGTACGATGGAAACAAGTCGGAGTAAACAATATATCTAATCCAGAGGCAATGGAAGAAGTTCAGAGCAAGTGGAGCCCGGGCCATAGGCAATGGAAGCGACTGGGAGCTAGGAGGTTACCAGGTGGTTAGGAGCTTATGGAAGGAGGTTATCAGTGAGCTGATGGAAGGGGTGACTAGGAAGTTGGAGGTAGTAGTGGGAGGTTACCAGGAAGTTGGAGGTAATATTGGGAGGTTGCCAAGTGGTTGAGAGTGGTGGAGAAATAATTGTAACCGCCCCTTTAGTGGGAGAAATGGTTATGCTAGTTTAGGATTACAAGTAGGAAAAAGAAACACAACACACGCACGCACAACAGAACAATTCGTCTATTTTTTACTTTTCTTTCATGTTTTATTTTCGTTGAATGCATTTTAATTCGAATTACATACTTTTATCCGCTTTCCAATAGATGTTAGTTTAAATCCATTGAAATGGGTCGTTTAGGCTCGAAGCCTTGTGGACGATCGAAGCTGTGCAGGCTCCATCGTAGGAGCCGCCTCCAATCCGACGACGGACAGGCTCTTTGGAGTACTTCCGGAACCCACACCGACAAATCGACGAACGTTCTTGGAACCTCCGAATTTCAGGATCCAACAAGATGCTTCCATTCTGATTTAAGAAAAGCTAGAAAACGAATGGTCATTGATGATTCGAGATTAAAATTTAATTTGTTGGGTTTTGGTCTAACTTGATGCCTAACATCATAGTACTTCTTCTGACAGAAATTAGATTTAGAATGAATTTGAAACATTGGAAAGATCCTATTCAATTTACTTTATTAGCTGTTAGTTTGGATCAAGTTAGTCATATTAGTTTGATAAGTTGCTACATTTTTATTCCCTTAAGGCTTGCGCGCTAATATATATATTGTTGTGTTCGAACTTTGTAATTGTTGTTGTGTTGATTCATTACTTTCATAATTGACAAGTTAGTTTAAGCCTTGAATCAATCTATATTTGTATTGTATCATATTAGCTTGCTATTTCCGTTTGGTGACCTACAGTTATTAATTTAATTTAACTGGGAATATGTAATTAGCTTAATTTTTTGCTGCCGGCCATTGTTGTTAATTTATTAATTAGCTTGATACACGTGATGAGTGAAGCAGACATAGCATACAACTGACAAGAGTTTAACCTTTTTTTTTTTCTCTTTATAATTGCCTTATTACTGCTATTGTTTCCAGACATTTTTATTTGATTCTCCCATACAGAAAACACAGATTCATTAATCTTACCTGTAATTCTGCACCATTTGCTTATTAGTCTGTTTGTTATCATCCAAACTCGTTATCTTAATATAAATGAGATCAAATTTTGTTTACTTATTTTATGCTGCTACTAAATTTCAGTTTTATATATATTTTTAATTACTTTATTATTGTTATTATTAGATGTTGTTGACAAAAAATAGTGATGGAGGAGATTTTGAGAAAGGAAAAGACTCAGGAAGAGTGAATTGAACAACATCAGATCTTCATATATTTATTGATTTATGTATCGAATGCCTAAGCAAAAATAAAGGAAAATTAGGTGCAACAGTCTCACAAAGGATGCCATGGAAAAAACTTCAAGAAGAGTTCCAAAAAATAACACACAAAACTTGGGAAAAAAATAAATTGAAAAATAAGTATGATTGGATGAGAACTAGATGGAGTCTTTGGAAAAAGCTAAAAGGAAAAGAAACTGGTTTGGGATGGGATCATGAAAAAAGAACAAAATGTGCAATTGATGAATGGTGGAATGCTAAAATTCAGGTTAAGAGTTTATTTCATTTCATTTTATTTTATAAAATCTTTTAAAGTCATATATATATATCTTATCATATATATATATATATATCTTTTTTCTTATAGGAAAATGGCAATTTTAAAACTTTTCGAGACGAGGGGATTAAGCCCGAACTAGAGTCTAAAATGGATTCCCTTTTCGCTCACTCACTAGCGACGGGAGAACATAAGTACACCCCTATACATGATTGCTCAGAACATAAAGAAGAAAGAACTCATATATCATCTGCACCACGTACTATTAATGTTGATGACTCAATATTTGGTGACACACCACATATTGATTTGTAGCTAATTCTCAAAACTCTTGTAATGTGTCTCATATGTACTCGTTACGGTATAATATAACCCATTATATACCCTCATTATTTATCTGAAATCAAATTAATATAAATCATATTTATGTATGAGGGTATTTACTTTTCCGACAGTTTTTCCAATGAAATTACGAGTATGTTGTAATGTTCAAGGAATATATTCATTAATACCAAATGTATACATATTCGAATAAGAGGGTGTGTCTTTGTCTATGGAAGTATTCATATTCGTATATAGGTATAAGTACTATAAACATGGGTATTTAAATATCTATCCAGAATTTATCATTGATTGGTGTTTGATCAAACAATTATGAGTTGATTACATAAGATCCACTTTGTCAAAAGTTTGCGTGCATCAATGAATACTTCTTAAACAACATATGAGATCACCTATTTATGTATTCAAGGGTGGATAAGAATGTCACTTAGGATATATATGTCATAACATATCATATGGTGAACTGTAGTAATAGATATTTGAAAGTTAGTGCATAATTAATGACGTATAATGTTCTTTGTATTGTGAGTGTCCATGCAATTATTTTTAGAATAGGAATAATATCCCAATAAGAGTAAATGTGTTAAATAGTATAGGCAGTAAATGTTACATATGAGATATATTGAACTTTCTCACAATATACGGAGTGTATGCTCATTGATGTGTACATGTTTACCATACTCATTGATGTATACATGGAACGTGTCCATCAATGCTCTTAGTATAATTTGGTCAGTATATATCTTCTCAATATACATTGAATATGTATAAAGTTACTTATAAAGTCTATTCCTCAATATAAATACATTCAATCAATTCAGAAGTATGTAACTTAGTAAAATGAAAGAACAAATATCATCATTGTGGGTACGTGGCTTAAACATAGAGGTTTCTCAACACCCAACTATGAAATCTTGCAAACTGAAATATATTAATTACTTATGTGAAAACGTATTTTTTCTAGTACATTTGCTCACATGATTGAAGTGTACAAGTTATGAACATGGATATATATATATATAAATTTTGGATTACATATTATGTATACATCTGTATACATTACCAAAATGCATGTATATGTAGACAATCTCTTAAAATATCATACATTAAGTTAAAATCTAGGGTGACTAACAAAATATAACATCAACGGAAATGTATCCCAATTAACCATTGCTACAAATCTCAGTAATTCTTCAATGCATCCATAACAAATCACATACAAATTATTCGATGTTCTTGCTTTTATTTTTCAGTTCCTTCTTCAGGATTGATACACTATCCAAAATTGTTGTCTGTAGTAAATAGAGGGGTATGTAAACGTATTAACTAATGTAACATAGAATAATGTAAATAGTAAAAATATTATAATACAATTACTACGTACAACGATGCACTATCCACAATTGCATATAATCTAAGTATTATAGAGAATCCTTCCGGAGAAAAACTTAATTCAATTTCCTCTTCGATTATGAATGATCGGGATTCAATTTCAAACATACTGACAATCGCCCACAAGCGATGCCAAGGTAGCTTCATTTTTGAACAATCGAGGAAATGCCCAAATGGGGTGAGTTGTACAGCTTTAAGTTGTTTATCGTTCATCTCAACTTCTAGTTTAGTCATCATTGTATAGAAGAAATATAAAATAAATATGGAGGTAAGCCCTTTGTATTCTTTCTCGAATCTGCCATCATTTAAAATAAAGAGATGTTTTTATGAGTATACACAAAACCGATTCAAGTTTATGGCATAACTGCACAGGTAAGTAATATTCTTAAAGAGATATGTAAATTAAAACTCAGGACACACCAAAGGAAACTGAAGGTATTCACAAACAATATAAAAAAGAAAAAAGTTTTCACTAATCGACAAAATAGATACATCTACAATCAACACTGTGTTAGAGACATCGTCAAACACTTTTGATACTTAAAAAGTCACTTCACAAGAGAAAATTGTGCCTACGGTATTTTAAAAAAAATAAGGAACTCTACCCACCCCACACCCCAATCATTTTAATACAAATATAAACCTACAAAAATGCATATGAAGGTACATCTATACTTAATAAGATCCATTTATAATTTCAAACATATAAAAATAATTCATATAGGATCCGGTAGTGTGATACGATGTCAAAGTAAAATAGCCCAGCACAAAGGCTTGTACAAACCCAACCGCGGCACAAAAAGAATAGATTCGAGCACACTACGAACTCAAAGATACAAAACTAATATATTGATTCTTCTAAAAATATAAATGTTAATTTACTTCTTCGAACTCCATTTCTTGGAGACTTTTTCGATATTTCAAGCAGGATTTGAAATTTTGCCATCGAGTAATACTTCCAGCAGTGACAATGGTTTCTGCGGAGAGGTTTGACTGGATTTCTGCATAGTACTTCCGCAGGGATGGGCTGAGTGGAAAAAGAAGAATTTAGAAGAATTTAACCCATTCACAATATAGGATTGTGGGTTTTATCTAGGTTTTGTTTTTTGTTTTTTGTTTATATTTCTGTAACTGATCCCAATATATTAATAAAAATCCTAACCACATTACTTTAAAATTTTATTTGTACATCGAAATAATTTTGAAATGCATAAATAGATATTGTAGATTTATATAAAATTAACGGAAGTACATAAAACATCGTTGTATAGGAAATGTAGTGTTCTGTCTTAATGAAAAAAGATTGAATTTAAATTATTTTTTTTCCACTTCAGATGGATTTTAATCAAGTTACCCAAAATAAATCAAATTTAGATTTTTTTTTAATAATAAAAAAGATATAGATAATGAAAAATTAAAAGAATTATATATCCAAAATATAAATATATTTAATCTGATGGACAATATAAATTTACTTTTAATTTCGAAGAATACATATGAAAACATTCAACTTCATATATTATAATTTCTTACAAAAAGTAAAATGATAAGTAAATAAATTTTATTGAACGAGAAACTCTACATAAAGCATACATTTGGACACAAAAATAGTTCCCTTTTAAATTTTAAATATTCAAAAAGAAAGAAAAACAATTACAAATTTAAAAGAATTATGTATATGGTTAAGGGTGCTTACATATAAAATTTTGCATTTAGTTTTATTATTCCAATATTTTTTCTAGAAAATATCAAATCAAATACCTATTTTTTATTTATTATATTACATTAAATTTAATTTTACATTCAAAATATCACATCAATATATATTTGTATTATATAAAACAATTATTTCAATTTAAAATTTTACTATTCAAAATCAAATCACAAAACCAAAATTTTTTCAATAATAAAATTGCAACTAAAATAATAAAGAATCATATATAAATACATTCAATTTGATAAAGTTTTTCACAAAAATATAAAAAACAAGTAATTAAATTCTACTGTACTACAAACTCTAAAAAAAATACAGTTCAATACGGCCGTAAGCAATGGCTTGGTGGTGTGGGGGTGGACTCGTGACCTGAAACCTCTAAGTCTTATTTGTCAT